CTTTCAGATAGAAATAAATTTCTGTTTGGATTTAGAGCCTCCAAGACTAATTTGGAACCTAATTATTCTGCAACAAGTTTTGAGTCTATGAATTAAAAATTTCAGTTAGAATAAAACTTTTCCTGGTAATAAAAAGTGGTCGATAAGAGTCAGGAAAAGCTGAAATGTGCAAGGCCTTACTTTTTCGATGTGATAAGATATTGTTAGAGATGTTTATAACTTTAAAAATATTTGGGTCAGTTTGTAGAGGCTTGCTATGCCATGATCAGGGCAGAACATGAATCAAAAGACTCAGAAAGAAAGCTGTCAAAGGTGCACTACAGAAAATTAAGCTACTAGAATCCTAATTACAATTTGCTACTCAGTGGTGGATAAATAGAGTATAATAGATTTATTCTACTTTTAATATGCGGTTACACAAGTAGCTGCAGGATTCTAAACTTTAAGCAATGTGTATCTTGTCTCCACGTGCCATGGGTTTGGGTACTGCACGTGGCTGTATGACTAATACAGTATGCCCAAGTGTCATCCATCAGCAGTGAACACTGTGCCAGAAGAATAAGAGCACTGAAAACTGAGTTCTTGAATTCTCATCCAGGGAAGGGTATTGATATCTGTTTTTAAATAGTCTATTCAAAAAGGCAATTCTGGAACTGATGCAGCACTTTCCTTTTTTTTTTTTTTCTTTCTTTACTTGAAGAGGACTCTCAGGATGATATGATAACACAAAGGTATATTTCCTGCAAACAGATGAAAGAGCTTAGCTGAAATGGAAACACAGAATAGAGACCATATATTTGGCTACACATGGGAAAAATAGTCACTGCTTGGTTCACGTGCATCCATAAAATGCTATAGGATAGATGCAAGTAATCTGTTTCCAATTCCTCACACTTGATAGATATTTGTGGTTTGTCGAATTTAGAACTGTTTTATAAAACTGTCCCTAACAGAAAATGGTAAGTACATATTGCCAAAAAATATTTTCATTATAAAAACTTGCTTGTAATTTTCAAGTGGTCGTGGGACTAAATTTTTTAATTGCACAGGAAGCTTGGACTAATTTCCATAAAGTCAATCTTGGGCCAGAACCAAACTGACAGAAAGAGAGGTGAAAATCAAGCTCAATCTGTTTTTTCTTACTTCACAATAAGTGATGTTCCCAAAATAATTTTAGCATTTTATATTTATCAAACTTATGAAGTCAAAAATGTGAGGGGCATTCAGACAGTCAAAATGAGCATTCTTGGATTGCTGAAATGGATATCTGACTACATAATGGGAAGAAGGAAAACTTGGATGGATGAACATCTTCAGAAGATTATCTTCCATCTAAGCTTATGTGGAAGATGACACTGCTTCTCTCAGAGCCTTCATATACACTATATGATATACACTTCATATACGCTATAGTTGAAACATAGGAACTATTTCAAATGGTTGTACAATCCATGAACATTCCAAGTGTATGCCAGAGCATGGCTGTTGTGGTCCATAGCCTCGGGCCCTCACACACAGGGTTTACACAGACAAAACAACAACAAAGGTCCTGCTGCCAACTGCCAAAAGCCTGAAGCCTCAGGTCAGCATCTCTAACCTCTAGCTGCAATCACACGACTCAAAGGGATTGATTTTCCATAGTCCAGCTTGGTGACCATCAGTGGCTTTAACGCATTTGTGAGAGTGCAGAGACAAAGTCTCACTTCTGCCAAAATATTGCTGTTCTGCTCCCCTTTACAACTCCACTGCTGTGCTGGACCATTATTCAATGCCTTAATTAGGAAAAGGAGGGGCGTTATGGCACCCTTCTCTTTTGGTTAAACGAAATGCTTTTTCAGCCCAGTGGTCTGTGGAAGCACATCAGCATTGTCAGTCTAACCCAGATGTGAAGTAAAACAGCACCTAAGCATCTTGACCTTGTTTTACTTTACAGCCCCCAGCTGTAAAGGGCAAAAGCTGAGGGGCAAAAGCCACCTCAGCAATGGCTCCATAAGGCAAGGGAGGGAATTCACAAGTGCTGTTAGCAGTTTTTGTTACCAGGCTGTTCCAGTCAAGGTGACAACATGGAAACCAATAAACATTGTACATCTGGCCTGTCCACTGCAACAGAAGCTGCATAGTTGGAGTGAAGGAAAAAAGTAAATACAAAACTCTTTACTATGAGGGTGGTAAGGCACTGGAGGAAGTTGCCCAGAGAAGCTGTGGATGTACCATCCCTGAAAGCGTTCTCAGCCATGTTGGATGGGGCCCACAGCAACCTGGTCTAGTGGAAGGTGTCCCTGCCCATGGCAGGGGAGTTGGAACTTAGATGATCTTTAAGTTCCATTCCAACCCAAAGCATTCTGTGATTCTATGATTATATGAAAAATACACATCAGAATGTATCAGCAAGAGCTATAGTACACACAGCAGTAGAGCAGGTATTTACCAGAATTAACTTTTTTCATGTAAATAGTCCCAATGGAGTGAATATGCTGTGGGCTTTGTGTGTTGCAAGGCTCTAAAATCTGGCTCAGAGTGACTAACTGCAGTATTTTAGCATGAACAGTTGGTGAATTATTTTTGACCCAGATGGTAAAAGGCCCCCATCAAATGTTTTGTTTGATTCATGCCAGCTGAATGGCTCTGTTAATGAAGCTCTCATGTTATATGAAAAAATGGTTTACAGGTTTACATGATTTAGGATAACTCCCTGTAGATCTTGGCAGCATTTCACACACTCTGCTGATTTTCTAATGGAGTGTTTCAGTGTCTTATCTATTTTCAGCTCTTTGCCATTACCTGTCATAATATGGTGCATGATGGCAACATGCCAAGGGATGCAATGTCACATTCATAATTTTTAATACATAACAGGGCAGATATCCAAAGTGATAAATATTTTAGAAATAATAAAACTTTCTTTTGTTTTGTTTTGCTTTTCATCTTTCTTCTCCAGCACTTTCCATTTTATAGGCTGCTTGTTCTACTTCTCATGTCCTTGTTGTCAGTTGCTGAAATACTTCTTTGTAGTGGCCACAAAATCAGGAGCAGTATATCATTTGTCATCCGTAAACCTTAATTTAAAAATCCATGCTTTGGAAGCTGTTTGTCAAATCTGTTAAGCCTTCTTCTAGCTTGCAGTCACGTTTTAAACAAATGCAGTTTTTCTCCACTAAATGTTTTTAATTGCTTACAGGGCTTATCAGCATCTGCAGAGGTAAAATACTTCAACTCCCTAGTGAGCTGCATCATTTCCAGTTAGTTCTATGTCTTTTGATATCAATCCCATGTGCCTAGGATGTGATCTGCAAAACACACATAGATGGTGAGCAAAATATGCACATGCTGAATGATCATCTGAGAGGGAGGAGGAATCTGTTTTAAGCAACTGCATTTACAAGTCAGTGAAAACTCCATTTATAGGCAATGGAAAGAAACCATCCCCTCCAGAGCATCCAACATGTCTGTTTAAGACAAGTGAAATCACTTTTTCTCTCTGGGTACCTGGAAAGTTCCTGTAAAGAGAGACTAGGTTGCATGCTCAGGTCTGACTCAAACTGATCAAGAGGTATGATTTCATTAACTTAGCCATACACTGTTAACTGACATGTGGCCCAGTGTTTCTCAGACAGATGATATTCCATACTCAGAGTTGAAAAATTAATAACTCAATAATCTCTTATTAAGCAAGAATGGCTCTTACAAGTCTGCAAATTTATCATTCACAGCACACCAGTAAAATACAACCTTAGTACCAAACTGATGACTGGAAGCCAAAATAATCCTGGAATATAAAGAAACTTTGGACCCAAATCTGGAGGGAAACATAAGTCACATTTGAGACCCTCTTTCACATTAGCCAATTAAGCACATCCCATAGTCTCATGGTCATTACTTAAAAGAGGAATATGGATTATTTTGTCCCTTCAGAAAAGCTAAGTTCCTGTATACCCATACATCGTTCTTATTATTTATTTCAATGTTCACTTCAGCACAATCAGTCATTAATTGCAGTTGTATGGTATGTATTACTTTTGTTCAAATCCATACAAAGGCTATTTTTTGCATCTATAATTGAGTTGATACAGAGCAGCTCTCAGGAGGAAGCTTCTCTGTATGGCATATATTTTGTACTTAGGGAGACATTAGCTGTGCAGCTGTCTTCAGAGCAGTATGTGCAATTTACCTGAACTAATAAATTTCTTTCCCTGAGAAAAACAAAAATGGTAACTGGCTGACTTACAATATATTTTTGAATATATTGTTCCAGTCAAGGTGACATGGAAACCAAACTATAAAGAATATTACTTCTTTACAAAAGTATATTTCTACACATTTCAGAAGTAAGTATACAGATTTTCTATTCCAGTGTAGAAAATCTTAATACCAAACCACTAGAGACCAATTATAAGTATAGACTCTAAAGTGCAGAGGGAAGGGCGTTTACAAAAACTGAGAAAGCAGGATAAAGTCTAAGAAGGTTTGGGCCTCTCCTCCTCATCAACATGTGAGAGACCATCCACAGTACCGAGCTCTTCACATCCTCAGCCACCGGGAGAGAGAATTCAGTGAACAGATCCCTACCAAATAAACAGGCCAAGGCTGTGGATCGTTTCTTAAATAGTCCAACCTTTCCAAACAAGGAACTGCTGAAGGAGCCATGGACACAGTGCAGTGTTGGCCTTGCCTGGTGCTGCTGATCCCTCCTGCTGGAGGAGAGAGGCAGCATCCATAGCAGCAGATGGCAATCTAGGCCCCCAAAAATACTCAGGAGGGAGCTCCTGTGTTAGCCTGGTGCTTCTCAGAGACAGATGAGTCCAGACGGGGATGTTACAGGGAAGACTGAATCTGACAAAGAAACCTGAGCTTAATAAGGCCTGCACAACTCCAGGCACGCAGTCCCTCTATCACCACGGGCTGACGCCTGTCTGCAAGAGGAGCCGGAGCTGTGACATGGCTCCTGCCCTCTCTCAGCATCAGCTTGAACCGCTGGCTCATGCAGGTGCGGGGGGAGGGCACCATTTCCCAGAGGCTCCGTCTCCCACGCCCTGCTGTCCCTGAGCCGGCACAGGCCCCCTCACCGCAGCCTCTCGGTTCCCGGCGGAGCCGAGCGCTGCCCGGCGGCACCACAGGGTGTCACCCTCGGCCCGGGCCCAGAGCACGGGGCACCGCGGGCAGACAGCGCCGCGGCCGCCGCCGCAGCTCTGCCTGAGGCCCCCGGGCAGCCCGGGCTGCGGCCCTGACCCGCACGGCTGCAGGGCACCGCACACACACGCGTGGGGAGCACACGCTGGCACCGCGGTGCCCCCCGAAACCGCGCAGGGAGGCCAGGAGCTGCCACATTGCAGTCTCTCAAAGAACAGGCCTTTCTTTCAGAGTCTGACCTGACTCTCAAGCAATCGCTGGACAAATTGTGGCTGTGCTTATCTGTGTTGTTTGCAACTTTCTTCTTCAGGCTTTTTTTTTTTTTTTCCCCTCCTCATTTTTGGAATGTTTTGGAAGCATTTTTGCAGAAATTTTCCATAATCAGGCCTAGCCAGCATGGAAAATTTTATCCTGATCTTGAAATGTAGGCCTTCATAGCAGAAACTGCAACTGTGGGGAGCATCAGAAAGCATCAGAAAGCATCAGAAAGCATCAGAAAGCATCAGAAAGCATCTTTACTGTAAGCTGTCATACCTACTAGGATAACTACAGCCACATGGTATCACATAAACACCAGTAGATCTGGTACTGCAGTTAAATAGGAGCATAACATTGTGCAATATTTTGTTTATACTTGAAAGAGTCCAGATGGGCCTGGATTCATCTCAGCTACCTTTAGGTACCCCTGGTAAGATGCTGAATTAGGGCCACTAGCCAAAGCTCTTTTCTGAGCAGTGTCCCTCATTTTTAGCGCCTACCTGTAGAAATGTTTCACTAAAGATGCAAGGCTGTACTAGAATCTTGTTTTTTTTTCCATTAATTTCATTAACTTTCATTAATTTCTCCAGGCTTATTATAAGTCTGACACATAGGGTGGCATAAACTACTTTTTAAGAATTTTTGGGGGGAGAGACAAGAACCTTAATTTCCTTATGATCCAGTCTGTCCTCCAGCCTGCTGAGTATAAGGAAAACAAGAAAAATAGTTCCTAAGAAGTTTCTCTTATCTCTCTAAGGCTCATGAAACGGTTCATAGCTTTTGGTACATGGAGATAAGTAGCACATACTAAACCACGTGAGATGTCTGCATTTACGTATTTAAATTTTTTTTGCATGTATTATCAATACACTCCACCCAAAGAGTGTATGAAAGCCCAAGCATGCTCGCTATGCAGAGTACAATATAGTATTTGAAGTTTAGTTGCATTGACCATTTTGCTGAATAAAGCTATCCAAGTTGCTGGTGGTTACAACACTACCACCAGCAGAAAGTGTGGATGACTGCTTCTATTTTACAAATGAGTGAAATTAAACTACAGATCCAGGTATTAGTCAAAGTAGCTCAACACCTATGTCACCTGTGATTTCAGGAATCCTAGCCTTTTGCTTCTCAGTGCAGAGACTTTTCTCTTAAGGAAATACATACCTTATAGACATGGAATTCCACAAAACAAACAAAACAAGAAACCCAGCTGACTTTCACAGATTCCACCTACAGGCATGACTGCAATACATCAAAATCAGCGAGATTAAAATCATGGACAATTTTTTCTCCTTTTCTACACCAAACAATTGAGGCGGCATGTGTTGAATATTCATTGCTAGCAGTTGCAGACTTTTGCAGAAAGCAGGAGCAGCATAATAAGCCTACGCATGGTAGAACAGTTAGAATTACAATCAGACATTGTTTTTTAAAAGGAACCCATTAAAATAATACCCTACATCTTGGCACACATGAAAAGCACATGATGTACACCTTTGAGTTGCTGAAGTTTTATACTTCTCCGTTATTAATTACTCCAGCAGGGTTTTTTTTCCCTATAAAACCATAGGCGGCATTTAATGTTCTGTTACCCCGCGGCTGCAGTTCTCTGCTCGTGTATCTGCACGCAGCACCTTGCTCATGACTGGGAAATGTGAGGCAAAGATAATGTGTATGCACAGCTTCATTGCTTGGCAAGTTGTTTCATTTTCTTAGAGACAGATTAGCACTATATATTTTAACATCTCTAGCCTACCAAGTCATCGACACAAAAGATGTTTCAGGAGCATTATAGCAGTGGAAGACTTTGCAGAGCCTGTCAGTGCACTATTCAAAGAGTTATTGAATGCATGAATTTGGGAGTTTGTTGGGAGTTTGAGGGGGAGGTGACTGCATCTCTTTCAGATAATAACGGGATCTGAAAGGTTTCTTGGCTGCTATGAATTAGCATTTTCAGTTCTGAGTGTGGTCTCCCAGAAACAGTTTATAGCTAAAGCCATACATGTTTTTCTGTTCCTACATCAAATGGATAATAAAAGCTAGAAAATTACTGCAGGCTTTTATCTCAGAAATGTAATGAACAGAAATACCACCCCTGTTAGAGATTTGCTTACACTGCTGATATCATTGCAGCCTGAGCAACGTTTGACTGTCCAACTTTTCTCAGCGACTGCTCATCTGGATTCCCAGAATTGCTAAGACCACCAACTGAACTACCTGATGGATACTGGGAGCTGTGAAGAAGGTGCAGATGCTCCATTCCTCAGAGAAAAAAAACAACCATCACCACAGAAGGATCACCCCAGAAGAAGTGGTTATCTTACTTCTTGGCCAGAAATGCCTCTTGCAGGCCTTCTCAGTAGTACTCAGTAATAAAAAACTATTTAACAGTTTTAGATATATAGGCAGTTTTACCCCAGCTGCAAGCATAGGATCAGTGAGTGAAACCCAGCCCCTGAATCGGAGCACTGAATTTGGAACACTGGTAAACTCGGGCTACAGTGCACTGTCCCACATCACAGCAGCAAGATCAGAGCCTCCAGGATGGAGTCCCAATAGGGGCTGTTTCCATCAGTCCTGTGATAGCCTGTTTCTAGTGTCTGCAATGCTGTGCTAAAATATCTCCTGACATAATTTATGTGTAGCTGTGCTTTGTCCACACCAGAGAGCAGTATCCTCACTTTGCTTGTGGCAGAGAAATTCATTTTGGGGAAATGGGAGCATTTGTACTACAAAAGAACACCCACAATGATACACAGCCACAGCTGAAGACCAAGTTGTATCCATGGTAAGATTTCTATGGGTGGAGTTTGATGGAATAACCATCACACACCTAGCAAAATTATTTTAGCTGATTGGCAGCTTGGATTTGTTTCTACTTGGTTTTTTTTTTAAATCTTGCTAAAACCTTTGTTTTAAAAGAAGACAGTTTATGGAAGTATTTTTCAGGATTTTACTGCAAACCTATGGGTCTGGTCACAGAAAAATATGATACATATAACCATGTTAATTATATTACATTACAATGATGGTATACATTACAAGTAAGTCTGTAAGTTTAAATATACATCTAGAGTTACAACTGAATGTACAGATCTTTTTTACAATACATACAGTCAGGAATGAAAATCCCTCAAACCCCAAGACCATAAATAATGCCCATTTTATAGATGATATCTTTAAAACTAAAAGAGAAAAAAAAAAAAAGAAAAAAAGAAAAAAAAAAAGAAACCAACAGCTTTGACCGACTGCATCTGGGGCATTTTGGTCCATAAAAACCCTTTCTAAAAATAGAAATCTTTTTTCATAGCAGCAATGCTTTCTTCAAGCATTTGGATACAAGTAATTGTGAGCCCATTTCAATAATTTTAGTTGACAGTATAGATTTACAAAAGAAATTTCAAAATTACACTTAATTTATCTTCCAAATATGGAAGAAACAAACAATGCCCCACATTGTGGTATCCTGCAAGTGTCACACTGATGCTTTAAACTAAGTCCATCTGTAGTACGCAGACCACACGCATACCATTTGTTCACATAGTAAACCCACATAAATGAACTGAGAAACACACTCTGCAACAGGGAAAGCTTTGGAGCTCACAAGATCTCATCAGAATAAAGGCACATTTCATAAAATCCTTATCACGTTCAGATAGATCTTCAGGCAAGGCTTTTCGAGCACAATTACAAAACAGCTTGTTCTTACTCCTATGATCTGCCATAGCAGTCAATGGCAGCAGTCACTCTGTTTTTTCTTTCCCAAGGAGACAGCACCACTTTGGGGGAAGAACAAATGTAAATGAAAAGCCTGTAAAGCTCATTTAGAGAGTGATGTGCTCTTCAAAAAAGCTTCCAGCAAACAGTGTAGTTGAAATTAAGGCTGCAAAGCTGCCATGGTGGAAATGTGCAAATTCTCTTTCAAGGTGACTGGTCAACTGGCAGTTCCACCAGAAGGCCAAACAAAACAAAACAAACAATAACAGTTGTTATTATTATTAAAAAAGAATAAAAGAAAAATGTTCACAAGAAAGAGTCCACGGGTGGGGCATATGAGAAGCCCAAAAAAGCCTCAGCAGCTTCTTTGACACTGGCGGTGATGAGGATGCTGTCTGGGGACTGGCCGATGGAGTTAGGGACTGGCTCATCTGTAAACTCCGGATCAAAGTGTCGCAGATCACTGGGGCCGCTCTGTGGAAAGGGTGGGAAAAAAATTTAGACCCAAGTATTTTTGTGAGTGTGCAATTCAATTCAATATGGAGACAAGCACCCTTGTACAGAGACTCACAGTGTTATCACCTCAGGCCCACTGTTTAGCAGCCTTTGACAGTTTTAGTTTGACCTTTTTTGTATCCTGTTGCACATTGTCTCACTAAAAACAAGATGATTCAATTCAGTATGGCTACACTCCCACTAAGCTCATGCAACAGAAGCTAAATGCAGACATGCCACTCTGCCACACAACAGCAGTTTGCAGGGGAGGACTTTGATCTTCTTGTTATTAAATGAAGTTTATAAAATGTTCCAAGAAATGATAGAGAACAACCTTCACAACCTAATCCCTCACTTTACATGTTAGTAGTATCTGACAAGCCAATTGTAACTCTGTCCTCGGGAAGATACTTGTTCTCTATACCTCTCTATTCCCCTTTGGTAAAATGGGGAAGGCTGGGGATTATTTTTAAATTGCCATGCAAATGAAGCATGTGAGACAACAAAAAAAACAGCTCCATTTAGAGGGATCATCAGCAAAAAGTCAATTACCACCTATTTTTAACTTTGTTTGGACAGACAGGGAAGGAAAGCTGCATTTCCCAAACACAGCCATCCGGCCGCTTGCCCCTGGCTCCTGGGCACACCACAAAGAGGAGAGGTAAAAAGGCACTCTCATGCACTCTATAATTAGAAGTGATACGTACCACATTTGGGTTAAAAGGGGGTGTAATCTTCTTATTAATGAGATCATCCCAGTTAATTGGGGAGAAGAAGATGTGATTCTTAATCTCCATCTGTTAAGAGAGAGAAAAATAGATTAATTCAGACCTGAGCTAATGTAAACAGTATGGCCCAGTCATCTTCCCACACTGCCATGTGGGCACTGGCCAGTTTGCACTTACAAAGTCCTCCTTGGCACCAAGTCTCTTTGTCCTGTCCTTCTGCAAGAGGCCTTCCAGCAGATGTCTAGCTGAGTTGGTAATATTTGGCTTCAGCTGCAAGGGTTTGTTCAAGATATTGTCGTACATTTCTGCGGTGTTCCTGCTGTAGAAGGGTGGCTGTGGGAAGCAGAAAAAGGAGGAGTTAATGAGGCTGACAGGCAGGCATGGGGTTTCTTGTGGGAAAAGGTCAAGTAAGCTAGTTTGATCTGTCACAAAGGATTTGTTGCTTACCAAACCATACAGCATCTCATACAGGACTGCTCCAAGGCACCACCAGTCCACAGTCCGATCATAGGGCTGCTTATGGAGAACTTCAGGAGCAAGATACTGTGTAAGAGAAGGGAAAGAGCCATGTGAGACATAGGGATTTTTACTATCAAGAAAAAGAAAGCCTCCCCATTCATAGGCCATAATGCTCCCTCTGCTCATGTAACCAGCTTTACATACACATGGGAGAAGTCAGTTTTCACTGCTGACAACAGCTCTTGCTTTGAGAGTGGGGGGCTGAGGGCTGGCCGTACCTCTGGAGTGCCGCAGAAGGTGGAGGTCGTGCCATTGTGCTCTATGTTTTCTTTGCAGAGTCCAAAGTCAGTCAAGACAATGTGCCCCTGTGAATCAAGCAGGATGTTCTCTGGTTTCAAGTCTCTGTAGGACAAGATGAAAGAAGATAAATGTTAGCTTGAGGAGGTACAGTGAGAATATTTTAGGTGCAACTGTTTACAGAACTGCACTAAGCCACCACAAAATATTAAAAGCAATTTCAAGCTCCTACTGAGCTGAACTTTTCAATGCTTATTTAAGAAAGCACACGTTTTGTTTTCTGTACAGCAAACTGAGTAAGGCTACTCACCGATAAACGATGTTCAGGGAGTGCAGATAGCCCAGTGCACTGGCAATTTCAGCAGCGTAAAATCGGGCTCTCGGCTCCAGGAAGCAACGCTCCCTCTGGAGATGGTAGAACAACTACAGGAGACAGAGGGAACAAAGTTGTGTAAACACTGCCAAAGCCTGTTAACAATGCACTTAATTAGACTCAACATATATAGCAAGGGAGAACAATAGCAGGAAATGGCCTAACGATCCTTTGGTAGTTCAAAACTTGGCAGGCAGAAACATTCAATCTAGTAACTTCTCCCCCATGACTTTTCCCCTTGCAACTTTTTTTGTATTTAAAAGGAAGGGTGAAAATGTCTACCCTACCACCATGCACATGACAGGAAATACTATTTAATTTTTTTACTGCGTACCTCTCCGCCATTGATGTAGTCCAGGACAAAATACAATTTGTCTGCAGTTTGGAAGGAAAAGTGAAGCCCGACCAGGAAGGGGTGTTTCACATTCTTCAGCAAGACATTGCGTTCTGACATAATGTGCTTCTCCTGAAAACATCAGAAATTAATATTTAGTACGCTTGCTCAATAGTAGGAAAAAAAAAAAAATGTTTTGATGGACATTGCAATGGCAATGTGAAGGGCAGCTTACCTCCTTTTTCTTCAGGATTGCTTTTTTCTGCAGGACTTTAACAGCATAGAACTGCTCTTCTGCCTTATGCCGTGCAAGGAGGACCTGAAAGTGCATAAAATTCCAGAACTGAGCAATACTGAAATGGAACAACTCATAACACAACCAGCAACAAGCCTTTACATTAGCTGCTGAGCACTGCCACATCTCTCTCGTTCAGTGTGCGAGCCCTTCGCTGGAAATGCCTGGCACCGTTACCATTTGGGCACATTAATCTAGCCCAAAGATAACACCTCTAGTTCCCTTCTCTTCCAAAAGTAAAGTATATCCTTCACAGCACTAGTGAACTGAATTTCCTGGCTCTTCTATGACTCATTCAAATGCAGCCTCCCTGCTACATTCTCCCTGCACTGGACAGCAGGATGTGCTCAGGTTTGGTGTAAGTCACCATGGTTCACCAAAGGCAGAACAAACCCCACTCTCCAGTATTTCACAGAAGAGCTGAAGAGTAAATAAATTTAAATGAAAGAAAAAGTTACACTTACCTTCCCAAAACTGCCTTTTCCAATCACTTTTAAGAAATGGAAGTCTGATGGTTTGGCATGTGGGTTGGATGATGGGCCGAGATTGATCTGCTGTGAAGGACTGGGCTATAAAAATAAACAGAAACCACTTTCATTAAAACGGGTCAGCAGTGCAAGTCCCAACAGATTCTCTTTTTAAAATATATAAATGAAGTGACCTTGAAAATAAAGATTAACACTCTTACTGCCAGTAAAACTTGACCTCTAAGAGATATCTTAAACTAATAGGTACTGCCCAAGAAGAGTCTGACAACTATAGGTTACTTAAGTCTTAGACACATTCCATAACGAAATAACCAGAACACTTTTTAAACATTTCTTCTTCATATTTGAAACATCAGAATTTTCAGTCTAACCCCATTACTCTTTCTTGTTTACATTAGTGTGCTATGAGATGCACTAATGCAATACGCACGATGCTAATTTTGCTCCACTTCTATTAGTGGCTGAATTGATGTTCTAAAAACGTCACGCTGACTAAAATCTACTTACCGGAGGAGAAGGATTAGCATTCATAAGTTCAGGCTCTTGAGGCTGAGAGATTTTCAAGATAGACTGAACTTCAGGGCTGCAAGGATAAGAGCACACACGATTAGGAGAGTTACCAGGAGCAACAGGCTGATCTTTCCGCCAGAGGGCAAGCATGTAACGCGGAAGAGGAGTTCTGGTTGAGCCTAGTACAGAAGGCAACCAAAACAATCTATTCGATTTATGGAGTAAAAATTTTCTAGGGGAGTAAGTTCCGTCTTACAAAGAAACTTATTTATACTCTAAGTACAGCACATAATAGGGACTGGTCACTAGAAATCTCCGACTTATTTGTCCCAAATCCAGCTCACGCAGATCGTTGTGAAGTGAGTAATACCTCAACAAGACAAATAAACTCTTCCGTAACAGTAATGCCGGAGGAATTACAGTAAACAAACATCATTTTTAAACTAGATCTCGCAATATCTAATGATATTTGTGACTGAAATCCTCCCCAAAATTTATGATACTTACTGCTTGCATGCATAGGAGTTGGTG